ATTTTGAAACATCCTTCCCTATTTCTCGTGACTACTAGTCACGATCATCATAAATCTTCTAGTAGGTCACTACACCATCATAGGGACCCTAGCACATTATTGCACTATCACAGAGCTCCGCTCTATTACATTACCACACCATCCTAAAGCCTCGGTCTAGTCATCACTACAACATTCTAGAGTCTCGCTCTTAGTCACCATTACGTCTTGTTAGAGCCCCGCTCTTAGTCACCATTACTCAATCCCTAAGCAAGTTCCATGCCTAGAATTAAATTATCTTGAGTAGCCTTTTAGGCCTACCCCTAGTATAACTTAGAGTTCATACATTTTCACCTTAAAGTATCTCTTAGGACTATTTAAGGCACAACCTCTCACAATCCAACCTTAGGATCAATTTTATCATAATTCATATCAACATCCTTGCTAGTATCTTAATACTAGTCAGATTAATCTTAGAATAATCAAGTTCTCAATTCATGGTCGTATAGCCAATTTAAACTGATTTTCCAATCAAAATATAATCCATTCTCAATACCCAAAATATTACTTTTATTCATTCATGTATTCTTCGCATGAAGTAAAAAGTACATTTTATCATAAGAATTCATAGTTAATTCAACTATCATGTCATCATATTCATAACACATAATCATACATAATTTATTCTAAATTGGTATATCATGCTCCATTTCTTTATCGACAATAGTCTTCCCATTCTTATGGATTATTAATCATTAATAATCCATAAAAAAACATCTAAACACCTTAGGTAATCTTATGAAATCAACCCACTAATTAGCTTCCTTGTGTGCTAAACTAGCTGCCTTTGTGAAGCCCTTTAGTCAATTCTCGTTCTAGGCCGATTGAAAACGAGCAAGCTGGACAGCAGACAAAATCCAGACGGCTTTCGGGCCCTGCAGCACAAAAACATTTCCCTTCAATTGTGGTTTTTGGCGGTTTCAACTCCTATCGATTCCACGACTCTTCTAAGTTAAATACCATCACTTTATATCAATATTCTACACTTTTAAATGTGTAGAACATCTTGTTTAACCCACCATATGATTTCTTAAAAATAATATGAATAAAATACTAGTTAAAGAATACTAGTTGAATTATTATTACCTTGTGTTCTTACTAATTATTATTATTTCCTGGAGCTCCTCTTCTCTCAAATAATCTGTAAGATGTAAAATGATAGAGGAAGTCTCCTCACAACCACTTGTCACAATAATAGGAAGAGTAGGGCCATTGAGAAGCTTACACATGCCTTCAACCTTCCCCCTCACCCATATGTCAACCCTATCATTTTAAGTTATCCAAATTCCACTATTTGGAGTCTACAGGCTTGTAGAATAGTCCTCCCAATTATTATTACTATCTTTAGCAAGTTGGGTCAAAATAGCACATAGGTTGCCCGATCATTTTCCTTAACTTTAGTTTTCATTTTGTTGGGCTTCTATAATTATTATGATAACCCAACTAAATGTTTGATAGCTCATTCTCAATATTATGGGCTCGATAAATAATTTAATTAATCGTTCATTAATTAAATCTATCATTCTTTTACAAAAAATTATTAACTAGGAAATTCAAATACATATTGGATTTGAATTTCAAGTACATCCGGGTCTGGTGTCACGGGTTGTCATGAAATCAGTATATTTATGTCTGGTTTTTCTTTCTTGGTCCAAATTTGGTATCTTGAAATTCCAAGAAACAGTCCACTTTCTCCAGATCTTCTATTGAAATTGAATATAGAATCTTTTCTTACACGGTTAAGGACACCCTTCACATTTGCTCCATTATGTTCGAATTGGGTATTCCAATCTGAACACCTATTCAGCTTATGTGTGATAATGGTTTTGCTTTTTATTTATTTATAAATCTTATTCAGCATGCACACAGTAAACATATCAGTATTGACCATCACTTTGTGTGTGAGAGGGTGTCTCGGGGTGATATAGTTGTTCGTTATATTCCTACTCGACTTCAGCTCGTAGATATTTTCATCAAGAGTTTGTCTCCACAACGATTTATTTTTCTTCATGACAATCTGCGGCATTGAGGGGGTGTAATAATGGGTTTTATACCTTATAATACAGGTTTTCTATATTTAGTAGGAACTATCATGTATTTAGACACTTTATTTATTATATACTCCATCCGCCTGACTGGACTTTGCCAACTTTTCTTTTGTGTTTGTTCTAAAAAACTTTGTCACTTTCCTTTTAAAGCAATGAATTTGTGATTCTTTATTTCTCTCTCCTCTACACAAACCTTAATCATACAGTTTTTACTATTCCAATATACCACTCAACATCAACTTGACAAAGTTTATTTCAAAATCATCATTTAAATAAATATTTTTTTAACAATATTTATTAAAATATACTCCCTCCGTCCCATTTATATTGTTCCGTTTTACCTTTTCGGGAAGTCCCACTTAAATTGTCTCATACCATATTTGGCAAAGTTTGTGTGGCTCTAAATCATTCTTACTTTATTCTTACTTTATCAATTAATATCAACCACACAAACTCACTTTTCTTAATAACCGTGCCACCCTCTTCCGTCCCAATATAAATGGGACGGAGGGAGTAATAACTAATAAATACCCCAAACTCTTTCCTGCTAATTTACTTGATCGCTCCAAGACGGCGGTTCAGGAGGGGGGCGGACTGCCGATCTGTTCTCTCCTTTACTCATCCCTTCCCCGCTTTCTATCAGTTCGTCACATGTGCTGCCTCCACTATTGCTACCGCCCTCCACCCATGTTGATCCGCCAAAAACCAACCCTTCGACCTCCTCCTCAATTGTTGGAATGGAACAACGCTGCTCTAAATCATCCATAGAAGTCATGGTTATCCTTTCTTGAACCTGCGCTTGATCAAAATTTGAGAGAAAAACCCTAGCTTTCGACAAGCAAGAGAAAGACCGAAGCTCGTATGTGTGTGCGTTTATTTAGGATGTTTTTTCTTGGACTGAAATTTTCTGGTCTGATCTGATCTGGTCTAGTCTGAACTGATACATTATGGTAAACGTGTGATGCCAGAACCGAGCCATTATAACCGAGTGTAACCTAAATGCCTGTGTATTTAGGGAGAAGGCTCAAATAGGACATTAAGTTTATTTGTGAAACTCAGAATGGACATTAAACTCTCAAGTGGACCAAACTAGCACATAAATCACTTATTGGAGCTATATTTGGCTACCCAGTAACATTTCTTTTAACGGTCCATAGTTAACAATCTTCTGTTGCTCTGTCATTTTCGCTTTATGAACCAAATCTCTGCCTCTCACCCACCAACACTGTCGGAGTAGGAGGTGAATCTCACGATAGGGTCTCATTGAATCCGGCGGATAGGTCGAAAACAGTGTTTCACCGCTGGTGGGTCTAGTGAAGGGTATTGAAGCTTTGGTCAATTACTTTGCCTCCCTTGGCATAACTGGAAAAGTCTTCCCCGTGTCCGGCTGATGAGTTGTTGTACCTGCAGCATGAAGCAGCCGAGATCTCTTTCTCCGAGTACATGTTTAGTCAGTCAAATCCTTCGGCCCAATACATCCAGCAATTGTTGAAGTTCTTCTCTATATACACAGAAAACATGATGACACCGGTGTGTTTGTCGAGATCCAGATTCAAATTGGGAATATGAGCAGATTGGCCGAGGAGCAAAATCCGATTAGTTGAGTGGCGAGCGACTTCTGTAATATGAGACCAAAAGAAGATTAAGGGTCGACATGAAGCTATTGGTCCAATATAGACTTTCGTACCTGAAGAAGATTGTCGAAACCTACAAGATTGGAGAATTATTCATGTGACCAAACCCATTCAGCCACTAACATGCTATTCTCCCAAAAAGAAATCAAATTTCATTTCTTCAGAAGAATGGAGAAGTTTAACAAAAAAAAAAATCACATTTTGTTAAAACCCGGGGTTCCATTCTAAAAGGTCAACTTGATAGAAGGAGTAGGCCAAAGCCTTATATAGTGTTTAATTGTTTTATAGCTTTCCGGTGCGGGACAAATGCTTCAACACGCCCCCTCAGCCCGAACCGGGCTGGACAATATCGGGGTGTATAAACGGGCCAAACAAACCCTTAACAAGCTACCCTTAATAAACAAGCCGTCAAACCACAACCGGAATTGGCTCTGATACCATGTTAAAACCCGGGGTTCCATTCTAAAAGGTCAACCTGATAGGAAGAGTATCCCAAAGCCTTATATAGTGTTTAATTATTTTATAGTTTTCCGGTATGGGACAAATGCTTCAACATATTTGTATAGAATAATAAAAACTAGCAGAAGTGGAAGATGATACATACATGAAGAGAAAAGGGGAGACATGAACCGACACCTAAAATGAAATATGAGTGAGTGGTTAAATGTTATCTAAATAAGTGAATTATGTGTTAATTTGGTTCCAGATTCGTAAATAATCGTCATTTTTGAGCCTTGTCCTATTTATAAATATTCGAGTGTAACCTAACATTTTTGAATTCTGTCACAAAAAAGTACTTCGTATATTTATGGGATTTTACCTTGAATATTACTAAATTTCAATCAAATTACACAAAAGTGACCATTTTTTATAAAGACAGAAAAGTGACTAAGAAGGTCATATTTTTGAAAAACATGGTGTCACTGTCAATTTTCGCGTCACTTAACAGATGTCACTGTCATTCTTTCACTATCGGGTATACATGTCACTTTGCTTGTCATCATCGTCATCGCTCGTGTCACTACTGCCGCCGGTTAACACTGCCGGTTCAGTGACATCGACATAGTGACACCACTACAGTGACACCGTAGCAGGCATCGCCAAATTACCGCCGCTGCCGTCTCACCAACTCCAGTTGCTGCTTCAACATTCTGGCCGCCGTCATCTGGCCAACCGGACTTACCGCCACCTGTCGACAGCCCCTAGCCCCCCTCCCCAGCCCCGTCCCAGCCTCCTGACCTGCCCCTAGTCATTCTCCCCCCCTCCCTAGCTCCAGTTCCGACCAATTGCCACCACCATGGACTCCAGCGTGACCAGTTCCCACCAGCCGCGCTCCAACCCAGGCCCCATCCGGCCATCCCCACAACACCCTTCACAGGCCTGTGCAGAGGACAAGAGCATGTGGCTTCAAGCTTTCTATCTTCATTTGAGGAAAGCGGGAAGCTCGAAATACCACCACCGCACCTCCGCCGGAAGCAGCGGCCCCTAATTCGAAGTCGTCATCCATCAAGGATGGCGGATCTGGAACCAGTGGTCACGAATCGGAGTCATCGCCCATTGAGGGAGGTGGATTCGGAACTGGCAACCTCAAATTGGAGTAGTCGTCCATGGGAGGGGCGGCCAGAGAGGAAAATGGAGGAGCTAGGTGCTGCTGCTACCGTCGACGAAACTGAGGGCGGAGGTTTAAGTTCTACCACAGGCGAAGGTGGATTGCGGCGAAAATGGAGGCTCGGCGAGGTATGTTGCGATGAAGGTGGAGGAGTGAGGGCGGAAAAGAGAAGATGAAGCGGAAGGCAGATCTATGTTTGTGGAAGAGGTGAGATGAAGTAGCGCTATGTTCATGGAAGAGGCGAGAAGAAGTTCTGCAGCTGATCACTTTTATGCCATTTTTAATATTGGTCATATTTTTATCCTATACAAGTTGAGAACTAATATCCGGGTCATTTTTTCATATTTATAACCGAGCCATTCGAGTCCTTGGTGACTACAAAAATGTCTTTGAGGTCAAACATCAAACACTTTATAAACGCTACTTCAGTTCGCTCATTTTCACGCAACTTCCATCACAGTGGTCGGCATTCCATTCCGCCGGAGCTAGCTGGTCCACCTCTGCAACAAGGTCCATACCATCTTCTCAAAGAAGACCCTATTGAAGTTCTATCCAACCTCTGGGTCAAGACCTTCTCACAACCGGGAAAGCCCTTCTCTAACCTTACCGGATTCCTCTCGAAGCTAGACCTCTGGGTCCTTGCCTACCAGCGTACCTGCGCCCACGTCACTGGCTCCTTTCCTCCCCGCAATGCAATCCACAGTCACATCCTCTCAGATCTTGTGTCCCTACGAAACACGGTTGTTTCCGGAAAATTCATCTGGAACGACAAGGCGCATCCAGTAATTTGTGGACCCAACGAAAGACCCATTGCGAACCTCTCCCGCCGCCAGCTCGATACTGTTCTCACCTCCAAAGCCCCGCCGTTTCAGGACCAGGTAGTTCAAGAAACTCTTCTGATGATTCTCGAGCCGATTTTCGAGCCCCGCTTTTCTGCTAAGTCGCATGCTTTTCGTCCTGGCAGGAACCCCCACACTGTCATCCGGACCATCAGGAGTAACTTTGCTGGGTATTTATGGTATTTGAGAGGTGATGTAAGTGACATTTTCGATAATGTTGATATGAACACAGCCATGGATTGCATTGGAAAAGTCTTGAAGGATAAGAAGGTATTAAGCTTGATCAGATCAGGTTTGAGAGCAGGAAGCAGTGATGAAGGCAAAGACAAGAAGTTGGATAAAAAGAAATCGAAAAAAACCCAGACAAAGAAAAGAATTCTGAAAGCAAATGAGCCGAAGCCAGACCCATATTGGCTGAGGGCGTTCTATGATTTTTCACCAGAAGAGGCTGCAAAGATACCAAAGTATGGGTACTGTGGGATTCTCAGTCCATTGCTAGCAAACGCCTGTCTAAATGAGCTGGATCATATGATGGAAGAGAAGATAGTTGAGTTCTTCAGGCCCTGCGAGCTTGACGCTATTTGGAAACACTCTATTGATGATGGTTGTCATAATCCGTCTTGGCCCGAGTTTGTTCCGTCGAGCGGGAAAGGGAAAACGAGAAAGATGGACTACATTCGGTTCGGGGGACATTTCTTGATTGGCATAAGAGGTCCTAGGCAAGACGCCGTGGATGTTAGGAAGGAAATAATCGAGTTTTGTGAGAGAGAGTATGGCATAAGATTGGATAACTCAAAAATTGAAATAGAGCACATTAGTAGGGGGGTTCAATTCTTGGATCATATGATTTGTCGCCGGGTAATATACCCCACACTCCACTACACAGCTTCAGGAGGGACTGTTGTGAGCCAGAAAGGCGTAGGGACACTTCTCTCCGTCACTGCCAGCCTGCAACGATGTATTCGCCTGTTCCGGCAGCTCAAGCTTGTGAAGGGCGACAGTGATCCAGAGCCACTTCCTTGCACCCCAATGCTTTATTCCGGTCAAGCTCATACTAATGCTCAAATGAATAAGTTGCTTGAGACCTTAGCGGATTGGTACAGGTTTGCAGATAACAGACGGAAAGTTATCGGCTTTTGTGCTTACGTGATCCGTAGCTCTCTGGCTAAGCTGTATGCGGCCAGATATAGACTAAAATCTCGTGCTAAGGTGTATAAGATTGCATCACGCGATCTGAGCCGTTCCTTGAGGGAACACAGTAACAACGCCGCACCTGAGTACTCTGATCTTCTGAGGATGGGACTTGTTGATGCTATTGAAGGTGTTCAGTTCTCTCGCATGTCCTTCATCCCGTCATGTGATTACACCCCTTTCCCTAGGAGCTGGGTCCCAGATCATGAGAGGATGTTGCATGAGTATGCCAAATTACAAGATCCTAAATTTTTTTGCGAACTGCTCAAGTCTGTGAAAAGGAAGTCTTTGTCTTTACCGCAAGATGAGGTGTCTGAAATTGTTTGGGACTACAAGACACTCGGCGTGCAAAGCAAGCGATTCAGTGGTGATTAAGAAGAGCAAAATTATATGGGACTCGTGATTTTTGGGATAATGAGAGAAGGAGCATAGTTCAACTAAGGCAATCCGACTAGCAGTAGTCTCAAGTTTGTGCCACAACACTTTTTTCCCAAGACAACTGCTCTTCATTCTTGAAGATCACTTTTGGTTTACTCAAATGCCATGGATAGTTTCTATGTATAGATAATAGAAGTGGTGATCTTTTCCAAACAGCTCCTGCCCTTGAGAAGTGTCTCTGTTCACACGCTCTCTTTCTTAAACTAGTAGTGTTTAAAGAGAGTTAATCGCACGCACTGCTCTGAAGCCCATGATATGATGAACCCTTGAGCTAGGTGATATGAGATTTCCTACCCTCACCTACCACTACCTACTAAGTCATATCATCTGTCTTCCTATTTTAGCCATTTCAAATCTCAATGTATAAACTGCTACAGAAGTACTACGCATTATTTTAGTGTTGTCTGCGACATTACCTTCGTTAGTGAAGAACTAACTTATTACATAGTAATTCATTGCCAAATATTACTCCTTAGTGTCACCATAAAAGTTTCCGACCATAGCTTACCTTGTTGACATGGAGGAGCCACCATCTCTTAATATCTAAAAGCAAAAATAGAAGTTTGATGGAAAATTTAGCTACATTGCTGCCCCTTACCTTTTTATCTAACGCATGCATCATTTCCCGTGCCATCAAAATGTGACCACAGATATCGCTAGATTCCATAAACCCAACCTGCTCCTTAGAAATTAGCTTAGGCAAGATTAAAACAAGTCTATTGGCCAGCACTCTGGTACCGACCGTGCTGATAAAGCTTTAAAGGCAAATAGGTCGGAACACAGAAAAATTCAAAAATCTTTAGGTCTCACATTTTTGGTTATCAAAACAATAAGAGTGCTTCTTATAGAATGAGGCATTGGATTGCCTAAAAAATCTTGTACAGCGTAAGTGACATCTTTTCTCACAATATCCCAGCAACTGCGAAACAAAATTCTGTTCAAACCATCTGTCCCTGTTGGAGAGCACTATCTTTTCAGCTTCCAAACTGCAGACATAGTCATTTAACCTCAGTTTCATTAGGTAATCTAATGAGAAGATCATTGTCTTCCTCTTGAAGGAGATGAGGAATGTAGCTAAGCATATAATTCATACTCGTATTAGACTTCACAGTGGCTTCCTCAGTAAAGAGATGTTGATAATATTGAATAGCAGCCTGACCAATTACATTTTTCTTCCTAATCCAGGAACCATCCTCCTTTTGAATAGTTGAATATATTGGCTTCTGTCATTCCCTTTTACAAAGGAATGAAAAGTTTTTTTGTTACTGTATCCCTCCTGGAGCCACTTAACCGGAGCCTTCTATTTCCAAAAAGTTCTTTCCTGCTTGAATTTTAGAAGTAGCTCAGTGTGTGTGTTAGACCAGAGTGTCTAGTGTGATCATTGGGATTAACCTCAAAGGCCCTCTCAGCCTCACAAACGGCAAATTCACACTTCTTAACATTATAAAAAATTATGCCAAAAATTTATAAATTTCATTCTTTCAGATCTTTTTCTCTCATGCCTCCTGATATTAATGTATTTTCAGTAAGTTTTGTTTCACTTTTAGTTAGTTTTATTGTTTGTTGTTGTGGAAATTGCACACTTTTGGTGTAATACTTTATTTTCCTAGATAGTTGTAATTTGTTTAGATTAAGAGTATTCAGAGCTTAAAATAGATCAAGTCATCTAAAGGATTTAGAATGAACCCTAAAGGAAAGTGCAAATGGACAAGACAAAAAGAAGATTTGGAAAACTGTTCATACACCCGGTCGGGATATGCTACACCCGATCGGGTATCGACCGGATTCAGATGTCAAAATAAATTTGGAGAACAAAGTAACATGCATGTAGGGATATTTATCAAGATTTGTCTTATACCCGATTGGATGAACCGACATACCCGATCGGGTATGATGCGAAATGTGACCTTCCGGGCTACTCCCTGGGATACCCGATTGGGTTTATCGGGTACCCTATAAACCCAAAGGCGGCTATGGGGGGAGTTACCCTAGGCAAGGTGCCGAGGGCCCCACCTCTAAAGGGGCCCCATTTTTTGTTATCTTTTTGTAGAAATAAATGGATGGATGGATGGTTGGATGGATGGATGGATGGATAGTAAGGACATAAATAATGAATACTAATATGTACTCCCTCTAACATTTGAATCACTCAAGTTTGTTAACTTTTTTATTTAGTAGTTCAAAATAAATTGAATATTCTATTAAAAGTAAGTGATTTATAAAGTTAAATTTTTTATAGACACATGAAAAAGTTCTACTTATTAATTTATGTTCTTACGTTATTAAATCTATTCCTAAGTTATGCTAGATTTTTTAGAGAGATCGTTTTTATGTTTTTCTTAAATAATACTCCGTACTCCGTAAGAAAGTAATCGTAATGTACTAAAGCATTTATAATTGATTATAAAAAATCTTCATTTGTAAAAATCATATTTTTTTCTTATTGAAACATCAAATGAGAGAATATTGTAGTAGTGGTATTATTTATTCTTATCGATGTGTGATTGTTTAAAAGTGCAATTTTATTTATAGTACAAACAAATTGATAATATTTTCCAGTGAAAAAAAGGAAAATTTTAAGTACATACTCTCTCTGTCCCTTAAAAGTTTTCCAAGTTTGGCTGACACATATAGGGGGTGTTTGGATCTGATTCTCAAAACTGATTCTGCTCCTTCAGGGAGCAGAAGCAGAAGTTGGAGTGTTTGGGTGAAAATCCAAAAGCACTTATGGAGCTCTAATTTACTCTCAGAATCAGTTTTTTTAGAAGCTGGGAGGTACCAGCTTCTGAAAACTGATTGTGATTCTGATTCTGCTTTTAAAAAAGAAGCAGAAGCAGAATCAGTTCCAAACACCCCCACAATAATAAACTGTGTGATTGAAGTTTGTGCAGAGGAGAGAGAAATAACTAGAACCACAAAAGAATTGATTAAAATGGAAAGTGACAAAGTTTTAGTGGAAAACCAAAAAAGGAAAGATGACAAGTTATAAGGGACGACGAATCGAGAGAGTATAAAACTATTATCCCCATCCCACAAAATTGGTCAAATTGACTTTGTTTGGTCAATGATAGTAAACTTTGGACAATTTTAATGATTCTAGTTATTATAGTTATGTGAAATTCATACATTTTATACTTTATGAAAGCAATTTTAACATTAAAACATTTGTTTTGAAAGTAAAATTTGTTCGGATTGATAGAGCATATAATAACATTGAAACATTTACAATCATACGCCAAATAGTACTATCATTTTGTTTACTACGTATTACTTTTGTCTTTATAACTTTTGTTGTGCTATTTTGCCTAGGGCATCAAATTCTGCTTATTATACCCGGAATGTACTGGGCTAAACTCACCACACAAGCTAATTAACCGCAAACCTGATTAAAATGGAAAGTAACAAAGTTTGAATCATCACAAAATCGTGCAATTGTTTAGAAGATGAAGGATCTATAATAATATGACCTTTCTCATATATTATACAGAGTAATAGCTAGAGTTAAGGCGACTTTTTTCTTTTCCACCCATGTCTTTGCTGATTTTCTCCGAAGCAATAATGTCCGAGTTAGCTGAGTTCTCTTTAATTTCTTATGACACTTATTTGCCAAATGTATCAATTCAAGTGTAAACAGTGAAGACAATATTCTGGTTTATCTTCGTATTAAACAACCTGTGAATTCAACACATAATCTTGCCGTAGACGGTGCAAGTGATCTGAATAAGTAGCATCGACCAGTTTTAGTGGTCTTCCTATCAAATTTGCAATCTGAAATAGTACAAGTTTATCCTATAAATGAATATATAATCCATCTAGAGATACCCAGATAAGAACAACTAGTGATTTAACATCAGGTTTGAAATCCGGTGTCGAGTAACGCGCATAGTATCAGGGCCGGCCATGGGGGCATTTTCCCTAGACAAGTGTCTAGGGCCCCCAAATTTCAAGGGCCTCCAATTTTAAAAACAAGCCTATTACTAATATATATGTGTATTTAATTTAATCTAAATTGCAGATTTCTAATTAAATATAAGTTCCTGTATGAAAAAGTCGGACAGGCAAGACGAGTAGGAATGGTTGTGAGTAGCATGTGGCAACGGGGAGTAGGAAAATTAATAATTATTTTTCCATTAATTAATTATTATTCTGCAATTAGACCGCACATGCCAAGCGACAAATGGCCGTTCAACACTTCGGCCTTTAAACTTCAGGCCTTGTAGTTCTTCTAACAATTTGATTTAGTTCATTTCATTTAGTGGATTACTTTTGTTAGATTGTACATCGTTTAGCTTTAGCTGTTTAGTTCTTTTTCAATTGTTTGTGGCTAGGGAGTAGGGTCTATGTATACAAGAATTCAATTGTATTACAGTAAGTGCAATACCAAATATAAATTATCGATGCATAAATCTATTTATTTACTCAAACAAATCAATTACTCATTTGGGTGTGCAAAATTCTTTTGCAGTTGAATTGTGATATGTGAGTTTGATTACACATTGAATATTTATAATCTTAGTATCTTATTTATGATGAGCAGTAAATTTGTATTTTCGAAGCATTTATTTAATTATTTATAATATCATCCTAAGATTGCCCAATCTTTTCTTTTCGGTCCGTCCTATTAAGATTTCTCAATCAAATTTGATAAAATTTATGTGGTTTTAAGTCATTCTTACTTTTTCTTACTTTATCAATTCAATCAATATCAACCATATCAACGCACTTTTTTAATAACCACATATCCTTCTCATGTCTCAATATTAGTAGGACATGGGTATTATTATTTTGAATGGAATTGTAGGTTTTGTGGTGACGGGGAAACGAAAACTTGATTCATGGTGTATAAAGAGAAGAACAAAGTAACAAATGACTTGATTATAAAATCGTTTGTCGGCGCTATAAATTTATACATACTAAGAAACAAAACGTCTATATGATTGTCCAGGGCCTCACAATTGGTCTAGACGGCCCTGCATAGTATGACCAAGGATCATCCAAACCTGAGGATTCCAACATCGTATATACTATCGTATATAGTTTTCCTCTAGCCTCTAGGTCAAATCAGATCAAAATGCTTTTCTTCTCCAATAAACCTAGTTGAAAACCTCCTTTAAAACCAATCTTTTGCAAAAGCCTCAAGTAATTCCTCCATAGTTGGACGACCCCGATAAAAAACCCGATCAAAACAATTTTACAATGCTTGATCGACGATAAAGCAAACAAATCCATGACCGCACTTAAATTATTTTTAGAAAAAAATTACATATTCAAAAACTATGTACCAAGTGATAAAGCAAAAACCAGAATCAAATTTGATAAAAATTTGATATATAAAGTAAGATATTAAGAGTGATTTGTGTACCAAGTGATATGAACTGAGACAATAATAGTGGAACGGATGGAATACATTTTTACACAAAAATGTACCAAAGGTACATAACTACATATTTGACACACACAGTTTAC